ACACCAAAAAGATCGTATAATGGCATGACATCACCAAGAGGTCCACTACAGTAATGTGACATATCAAGTCCTCTGCAAGAAACACAACATACAATTAGTGGCATATCCTTTCCTGCTGAAAATGTATTTAGACTCATAAATAAGGCACGGCACAACACAAGCATAGTGAGTAGTAGTGAGAGATTGACACCCTGTATGTGAACTAACCTGACTGGATAATCAACCATTTTATCAATCTTGTCTCTCCATAACATGTTCTTAAAAGAGAATCTCTTTAGCTGAATGATTAATGTTGCTGGGAATCTCCAAACTGACATCTCTTTTGTTGCTTCTCTGTGTTCTTTACATTTAGGACAGTACCTGTGAACAACATGTGGGAGATTTACAAAAAATATCTTGGGTATGACATTTGTAATTTGCTATTCACAGAAGACACAACAGAGGCCATTCTGGATCAAAATCAAAATTCCAAACCAATACTATGGCTGAATAAATTTATTCTTGGAGTTTATATTAGGTAGCTTAGAAAGCAATATGACAATTCTTGTATATTTCTATGAACTAGTGGTAATACTAACTAAACATTATTTCCACACATAAACAAAGCAAAAAAATACACGTGAACCTACATACATGTATAAAATAAAATATCAAAGCAACCGACCTCACTTTTTCAAGAAGAAATAGCATTTTTCATCCAAAATACAAAACTATTCACTACAATTAGAAAACTGAAGATATTTTCATAAAATAAAGAAATCTCAGAAATCATGCAAGTTAGTATCAAAGCCAAACAGATTTAATATTTGAAGAAAAAGCCAAAAATGTCAAGTTAACATCGACAGACAATCAGTAATATGAATAGCAGCAATAATGTCAAAAGCAGGGTTTAAATCAGAGCTTACCACGCCTCTTCTGGTGCAAGCATCTCAGATTCTGTAAAGAGTCTCAAACACTGATGTAATGTGGATTCATTCGTCTCATTCAGTCTTGTTTTATTCACACTTTCATCAGCTTCATGTTGCTGCAAAAAACAACACATTTTCATCAAAATAGATTCAGATCAAATCAAATATAAAAAGTATGTGAGATGTTATCAACTTGGTTCCGATGAAGTAGACAGCATAGCATGAAAGCAGACGTGTTAGGGTGATATTCGTTTGGATAATTAGGTATTGTATGTAGCACACCTAACAATAACGTAAAATAGATGACATCATGCCATACCATAGGTTTGGTCTGTACCAGTACATAGGTAGGAAGTTTATCATTGTTTTTCCAATCCATAGATAGGTTATAATAAGAGGTTAAATCCAGGGGTACATCACCTGCAATAACAATATGAATTTAATATGTATTAGTAATGTGTCCAACAAGCACCATAATTGTACAATGTAATTGACTCAACTGTGAACACAGACCCCCAGTGAAAGTCACTGTGGCTCCACTGTGACCCAAAAACCACTGTGAAATTGACTCCACTGTAAACACAGAACCGCTGTGAAATTGACTCAACTGTGAACACAGAACCCCAGTGAAA